TAACTGGTCTAATTTCTGTTGTTTCTCTGGTCTAACTGGTCTAATTTCTGTGGTTTAACTGGTCTAATTTCTGTTGTTTCTCTGGTCTAACTGGTCTAATTTCTGTGGTTTAACTGGTCTAATTTCTGTTGTTTCTCTGGTCTAACTGGTCTAATTTCTGTGGTTTAACTGGTCTAATTTCTGTTGTTTCTCTGGTCTAACTGGTCTAATTTCTGTGGTTTAACTGGTCTAATTTCTGTTGTTTCTCTGGTCTAACTGGTCTAATTTCTGTGGTTTAACTGGTCTAATTTCTGTTGTTTCTCTGGTCTAACTGGTCTAATTTCTGTGGTTTAACTGGTCTAATTTCTGTTGTTTCTCTGGTCTAACTGGTCTAATTTCTGTGGTTTAACTGGTCTAATTTCTGTTGTTTCTCTGGTCTAACTGGTCTAATTTCTGTTGTTTCTCTGGTCTAACTGGTCTAATTTCTGTAGTTTCTCTGGTTTAACTGGTCTAATTTCTGTTGTTTCTCTGGTCTAACTGGTCTAATTTCTGTGGTTTCTCTGGTCTAACTGGTCTAACTGAACCACAGGGTCCATGTGGTCCTGTTGGCGTACCCTGCTGGAGCTGGCAGGTCCACAGTCGGAGCACAGAACCCTGTAGTTCAGGTCTCCTCTGCCTCCTCGTTCCAGTGGTTCGCTCCACTCCAGGGTCACCATGGTGTCGTTGAGCTGGCTGACTGGGAGGCGGGGGGCTGATGGAGGGCCTGGGGGGCGGGGTTATCAGAGGTTCACAAACACACAACTCTGTAACTGCTCCACCCCGGGCTACATCAGGCTAACATGTCTGGGTTAGATATAAATACAGTTAAAAGAATGAATACAGTGTGTGTGTGTGTGTGTGTGTGTGTGTGTGTGTGTGTGTGTGTGTGTGTGTGTGTGTGTGTGTGTGTGTGTTGTTAACACATTTGTAAAGAGCCTCTCTGCTTATGTTCACATGAATCTCAGTTACACTGAGACACAAAGAAAGAAGGACTTTAAGTTCAGGGACGAGGCAGGGACAGACACCAGATGCATTCTGGGTAACCTGACCTGAACAGAGACAAACAACAGGACCGTCCCGTAAAAATGTAAGAAAACACCTGAAAATATCAAAGAAAGGACAGAGCATTGGACAAAAGAGGAAAGAAAAGCCCCAGGACAAAGGACAGAGGACACAAGAGTCTTACGTGTGCATGCAGCGTGTGGCGGGTCGGAGTCGGCCCGCTCAAAACCTGGGAGACAGGGACAGTAGGAGGAGCCTGGGATCCGTGTGTTACTATTGGCCGGACACGAAGAACAGCCGCCGCCTCCTGAGCCCACCTTAAAGTGTCCTGATGGACAGGCTGGGGACACACAGGGTTACAGTTAGTGTCCCACATGTCCAACATGTCCCTGTTGGTCTTCTGGAGACAGGAACCTGCTGCTGAAGAGACATGATGAGACTGAGGGACACGTTAACGTGTCCTGATGAATCTCTGTAGAGCTTCTGTGAGTCCACATGAGGACAATAAGGTGTGTGTGTGTGTGTGTGTGTGTGTGTGTGTGTGTGTGTGTGTGT